TCTTGATTTTGCATTTTGTTCCACTTATGGGAGGATTTCTAAAACTTTTTTTGCGCATGGTTTTGAGGGGAATCACAGATGTAAGCAACCCACGTTATTATAAAAAGGAAACAAAGATTTGATCGTTTCCCATGTCTCTAGAATACTTATAATATGGTCTACTTGTGTAAAGAAAAATGACATTACTATTTAAATCTGATTTTCCTTTTTTATAATTGTAGTAAAAATATACACAACACAAAATTTATCATTTTAACTTTTTTTAAGTGTACAGTTCAGCGGCATGAAGTACATTCATACTGTTGTGAAGCCGTCACCTCCATCCATCTCCAGAACGCTTTCATCTTTACGGACTGAAACTTAGTAAACATCAACTCCCAATTTCCCTCGCTCTCCAGCCCCTGGCAACTGCCATTCTTTCTGTCATGATGAATGTGACACTCTAGGTAGTTCATATAGGTAGAATCGTACAGTATTTGTCCTTTTCTCTCTGGCTCATTTATTTAGCACAATGTCCCCTAGGTTCATTCATGTTGTGGCATGTGTCAGAATTTCATTTCTTTTTAAGGCTGAATAATAGTCCTTTGTATGCATATACCACATTTTATTCATCCATTCATCTGCTGGTGGACCTTTGGATTGTTTCCACCTTTTGCCTATGATGAATGATGCCACTGTGAATGGCGGTGTATAAATACCTGTTCAAGTACCTGCTTTCACTTCTTTTGGGAATATGCCCAGAACTGGAATTGCTGGATCCTATGGTAATTCTGTGTTTAATTTTTTGAGAAATTGCCATACAATTTTCCATGGTGGCTGCACCATTTTACATTCCCATCAGCAGTTTCTCCACATCCTTGTCAACACATGTTGCTTTCTGCTTTTTTTTTAATGATAAACATCTTAATGGGTGTGAAATGGTATCTCATTTCCCTTTTCAAATGAGATAAATCAACAATTTTCATCTTAAGGTTTTCACAGTTTCATTTGCTGACATTATAGTGCTCTTTAAAAATGAATCAAAATGATTGATTAATATTTTCAACTGTGTTTTCCTAGTTGCTACTATTTGCTGATATTATACAAAATATATCTGGGAACAAGAAACATACTTCAACTAGAGATCCCATTTGAAAGAATCACCCTTTCCTTAGTGGTTGTCAAGATAAAGTCACTGATGACGGAAATGCCCCTTAAGATCTTATTAAGAAGCCAACAGTGACTTGGGCTTTTACGATAAGGCAGATCGTGCTCTGTAGGAACTGGAAGGATTCCAGAGTTACATTTGATAAATCTTTCTTTGATCTGGCTTAGCTTTCAGAAAGTTACAGCTGAGAAATTTAATCAGGGTAGGGATTGTATAGCTGTAGTTTTGGAATTATCATTTAATTCATCTTTTTACCTGATAAAAATTCAGGCAAAGCAGAAAGATGTGCTAATGTAAAAACATTCGTTAAATAGCACAATTAGAAGGCTGGTGAGATATGTTGTCCTACATGCTGGGAAGCATTTTTGGCTCATTATGAGGGGAGATGCTGATTACTTTATGAACAGTTTCAGGCTCTTGCTTTTTGCTATATTGCATTCTAATAAGTATTGGGTTGTTGGAAAAGTTATGATGCATTTTTGCAACAAAAAATGTAGAAAAAAATACATCATGACTTTTCCAACAACCCAGTAGAATGCAGTCTTTATTAAAGCTCATTGCATGTTCCCGTAAGTGTAGTTTTAATAGGAACTTATGGTCTGGCTGAGAACTCCATAAATCATGGATAGGACCTATGACACAGCTACGGAAAGAAAGACTTTAAAACCATTTTCTTAATTGATAGAGTCACGTTATGCCCCAGAATGTATAAAATATAATAAATACACTGTGCATATGAATTACACTGGACACTACACTCTAACGTGCACTTACAAGCTGTGAGAGGCACAGTTGCACTCAGGTCTGTGTTTGAATTGTGTACCACTGCAAGCAGTACTTATATAGTATTTTGCTTATTTTGAAGTTTAGAGGAGGATTTTCAGAATTACTGGAATGAATTATACCTTCACTAAAAGGAAAAAAACCAGTTGAACTGCGGTTTCCTTTTCTCTCCAAGTAATTTGCCTCTGGCAGAGCCAAACCATCCAGCAGGGCCTCGACTCATAGGACCCTTTTCAGCACCTATGCTGTGAAGGTGGCCTCGCTAACAGCTGGGCTGGAGGGACTGGGGGTTGCAGCCTGGTCTGGGAATGGCCTTGACCCTGGTTACCTTTTTCTGTGTTGTTCCTCGCCTCCCTTCCCCCTTATAAAGCCCTATGGCATCACGTGGACTGTGCTGCTTTCTTGCTGCATAAATCACCCAGGAGTGGCTGAGGGCGGTGAGCAGTCCTGTGGAGGGTGCACAGTGAATGCAGTGGACCTGGGTGGGATGGGGCAGGAAGGGCCTCATGCACAGACCTAATGAAGACAAGGATGGAATTTGTTGAAGGATCCCTTCGTACCTGCTGAATATGAAGAATGGCCTGTATTGCATGAATTCACCTAAGATTGTTAGAAGTGTATAGTTGGTCCAACTCTTCTTAGAGCTTGGGGCTTCTCTCCACATGTGAATGTCTCATCAAACAGCATGTCCAAAACAAGATGCTTTCATTATGTCAGAGACATCCTCCATATGCGGGGAGGATTCTTAGTGATGACTGCGGGCTTATTTTACTCACAAATTTGAACACTATTTTGATTTAAGTAGTTAGTTCAGTAAAATCAACTCTCTGCCTCCCTGGCTTCTGTGACCTGACAGCTTGCTGGAGGAGCACCTGAACTCTGCTCTGACAAGAACCTACCTATCCTTTCCACACTCTTACCCGCCTGAGAGTTCCCTTTGGTATTGAAGTACCCCCCTCCCCTCCATGTGAATAAAGGGAGGCAGTGAGTGTTTAAGAGTCATCTCTGGAGGCAAACAGATATGGTTCAGATTCTAACTCTGTCCCTGATTTAGCTGATGACCTTGTACAAGGTACTTCACAATGTCTCAGTTTCTTCATCTATACATTGGGATTACTAAAAATAGTGCCCACTTTATTATTTTGAGGATTAAATTAGATTATGCATGTAGTGCTGAGCGAAGTGGCATGGCAGTCACTTAAGAAATATTGGCCTTGGGCCAGCCGAGTGGCGCGTTGGTTAAGAGCTGTCTTGGGACGCCAGCTCTGAGCAGCAGGGCCCTGGTTCGGATCCCACATGAGGGCCTGTGACACTGCCCTCTACAGCTAAGATGGTGAACAACAGCTTGACCTGGAGCTGGGCTGCCGTGAGTCGCCGGCGATGGTGTAGGCTGCCATAAGCTACCGTGTGTGGCTGGCAGCCGGTGTGAGCTGCCATGAGCTGCTGTGAGCGGCTGACCAGAGGCTGGCGACCCATCTGCCTCACCTGGGAAGAGTGCAATGATCACAATACCAACATGGGCCAGTGAAGCAAAGTCCTCCACAACTAGACTGAAGAACAAATGAACAGCAACTTATCTGTTCCCCTTCCCCCAATTCCCCAGCATTGTTCCCATCCCCCCAATTCCCCAATAAAAATCTTAAAAAAAATCATACCTTAATTAAAAAATACTTTATTGCTAAAAAATGCTAACCATCTTCTGAGCCTTCAGCAAGTTACTCGTATAATCTTTTTGCTGATGGTTGCCACAGACTTTCAGTTTGTAAAAAGCACAGCATCTTCAAAGCACAGTAAAGCCAAGTGCAATCAAACAAGGTATGCCTGTAATGGACAGCAGTTTTTTCATGGTAGTTTAGGTCAGTAAATCTTCTCATTCTAAATCTCATCATGTGTAACATTTATCTCTGGCACCAAGACCAGACAAGAAGGTCTGAGCCATGTATGTGTGTGAAGAAAGAACTTTTCTGAACTATCAATTACTAAGTGGGCACTAAAACTATGACTTTATTTTTATAACTTTTTCTCACAATCCCCGGTAATGATAATTAAATGGTCTTATAACTATCAATAAGCAAGTGGTGTTAAAAGAAAAGGTGTTACCCCGTGACTCAGTTTTCTGCAAAGGAGTCTAACGTGCAAGAGAAAGCTGCCCGTCAGTTTTGAGATGGGGTGGTAGGTGTCTTTCCCTAAGAAAAGTTACCAAGTTGATATGTAAATACGAGAATTGACCATATTCTGAGGACAATGTTCTGATTGTATGAGGTATTTGAACATGGAGCGGTGGCAAAAAAAGTAATTTGGAACCAGGCAAACCTGAGGTGGAGTCCAAGGTCTTCGGAAATTACGCCAGCTCTCTGGGCCTCAGTTTTCTTAACTGTAAAATGGGGATAATCGAATTCTCCTCATCCAGTTGTCGTCAGTATTAAATGAAATGACGCAGGCCTGACGTTTGAGACCGCCCGGCACGTGCGGGTGTACCTGCAGTATGTTTGCTGTCGTCGTCGTCATCAGGTCAAAATGTGCATGAAACCTCAGCCGCCTGTAGGGGGAGGGCCTGGGAGGAGGGAAGCACATAAAGGGAGCGCGTGTGCGTGTGCTCGCCCTGCCGCCTGACTTTGACGTATGTTTTCGTCTCTCCTTTTTTTCTCTTAATAGGAATGAGTTCTTCTAAAACCAAACTGGAACTCCAGAAGCATCTGACAACATTAACCAATCAGGAGCAAGCAATGGTTTTTGAGGAGGTTCAGGTACAATACTAGGCTTTAATCTCCATATGGAAGGAAGAGGCAGCAGCTTACCTGTGAGATGTTTTTATAAAAAAAATGGCAAACTAGAGCTAGCAGTCACAGCCCCGGGAAAGTGGCCCCAAGTTCCTCTTGGTTTAAGCTTTAACCGCCCCAGGGAGGGGCCACATTCACATCAGGTCTTGGTTTTCATGTGAAAACCACAAAACCAGGGAAGCGCTCCCTTAAAAATAATATTTTAGAATAAGAGAAAGGAACGTATAAAGTGGGAAGTGCCTCAGCCTGGGACAGAGGGCCTGGACTTTGGTCCCCGAGCCTCCCCTGCTCCTGGGAAGCCTCTGCCAGCCCCTTCCTGCTCAGGGTTTCGGCCTTAAGTGTGGGAGTCAAAGGAGACGACATTTTGTATGTGAAGTTGCACATTAATTGTTCCTCCTCTTTTATTTTTTTTTGTTTTGACTATAAATTTAGGTGATACTCACTTAGAGCTATATATCAGACCTAAACATAAACACAAAATACAAAACAAAAACCAAGCCTTTCTACGTGGGCTTTCTGCATGAAACGTGGAAACTCGCTCTCGTCCTCTCATTTATTTACATGGGTCGTATCTCGGGGAAACCATGCTGCCTGTGCTGGCATGCCAGTCAACTCATTATGAATCTTTAATGAGCTCATCAAGAATTTCACGGCGGAGGTAGCCCCAGGGGCATCTTCTAGGGTTTCCTGGCACTTTTCTAGGGAGGAGAGTACATCAGAACAAAGAGTAAATTTCTCTCTTGGGGGTAGGGGAAACGGCAGGGTTCCTGCAAATAGAGGGGTCAGGAAACAACCCAAGGCTTGTGACTGCCCTCCTCATTGGGGAAAAGACTGTGCAGTTAGGGCCCATGAGCTGGTTTCCGGTAGTGTGAAAAAATAAAGAATTGTCTTCCTTTTAGTCACATGTTAGAGTTCCCTTAATCCCTCTTCTCCTCCCGTAGTAGGATTGGCATATGTTTATAGAAGGAAAGATTTTTTTTTTATTTCATAACTAGCTTAGAATGTAATCTTTATGATTTTTAATTGCCTTTAAATTTTCTTTCAAATCGACTTGAGACACACCACTTTTTTTTATCTTAAAGGATCTTTAGAGTTCTAAGTACACAGTTACCTTCAAACAAATTTAATGTGATTTGCACTTGGAATTCATAAATAGATAAGGGGACGGGCAATTTGCTTCTGATTGTCAATGCGTTTGCGATGGAAACCAGGGCCTTTTCCCTCTGGTGCTGGCACCCTTGCTGGCTAGTGCTATCAATCACTTTGGGGGACATCTTTCCAGCAAGCATGAAAGAGGCATATTCCTCCTCTAGTGTGAGCTTTTTTATTTAGACAAGACAGCACCATGTAGCTTTCCCAAAAACAGTTTGATGAATCAGGATAGGAAATACACAAAATATTTTTCTGCAGCAACGAGAAGTTTCCAATGGATGTGGTTCTGAGATTCACTTTGACCTGTATGAGTTTTTAGACACCCAGTACCTGATGGCAAAGAGATTTCAGAGAAAAGCGGTGATACAGTTTTACTTTTTAAAAATGTATTCAGTTAATATCCTGGAGCTCCTCTGTGCCATTCTAGAAGGCTCTGTAAATTTTTTATTTGTTAAAGCCTAAAGGGAAGACACTGGGTTTGAAAAGCCAGCTCATACTTTGTCCTCCATCCTTGTAAGTGCAGTTTTTTTCTTGAATAATACAAATTTGACATGGATTTCTTCTTCTAATGGCTTATATATATTCTTGTTGAATTATTTCCTCAATGACCATTCAGGGTTTTTATAAAACATTTTATAAATCAAGTCATTTGTTTCTTTTTTAGGTAGTAGTGCCTGCTAATGCATTTGAAAATCATACATTTCAAAAAAGATCATAAAGAAAAAGGTGGCTTTGCAGTGTCATGAGTCCTCTTATAAATAGGATGGTTAATATTTTCCTTTGTACAGTCTACCCACAGAATAATTTGTTTCTGAAGAACTCCCAAGGGCACATTATCATGAGACAAATGTAATTACTGTTGAAATTAATAGTACATGATTATTTAAATAGTTATTAAAGCATACATAATCAGTGTTTTTGTAAACAAATGTTTAATGCAAAGTAAAGTGCACCCAAACAGAACCATAAAGAAAAAGAAATCAGTAATTACCATGCAGATGATGCTGGACATTATCACTGCTGCAAATGAGCCAACTTTGAGCACCATGAGAGAGTTTAGTGCCAGCCGGCCGTGCGGGCCTATTAACTCTCTCTCTCTCTCTCTCTCTCTCTCTCTCTCTCTCTCTCTTTTTTAATTGGGGAACAGTGTGTTTTCCCAGGACCCATCAACTCCAAGTCAGTAGTTGTTTCATTCTAGTTGTGGAGGGCGCAGCTCAGTGGCCCACGTGGGGATCGAACCGGCAACCTGGGTGTTATGAGCACTGCCCTTTAACCACCTGAGCTAACCAGCTGCCCTGACCCTTCTCTTTATAAGAAGACTCATGATGGGTGGCACTGCAAAGCCACAGTTCTGTTTGTGATCTGTTTGAAATGTGTAATGTTCAAGCATATCTAACTAGGCATATGTGAAGATGACGCCTGGGGGTCTTGCTGCCCTCTAATGCTGCTCTGCTATTGGCTGAAGGCGCCGCGTACAAACTGGTCCTCAGTATGAAAAACTGCTTTTAAGCCAAAGAGGGCTAGTGAAGAAAATGTCTCAGAATCTAATTCTTTTCATCGGAATGAGTGTATTTCAGGGAATGACTTAATACTGAGTAGATAAAGTAAATTTATACTCATTAGGTGTCAATAATAGATTAAATGACATGACTTTTCACATGTTAAAGATTAATGGTCAGAGGAGTTTTTTTGTTTTTTTTTTTTATTTTGTAAAGAACATATATCAACTTTATTGGATTTCCCATGGTTTTAAAATTATTTCTTGTAAGATTTTATTATAATATTTTAAAAAGACGCTGGAATATAGTTTCCAAGTGAGCAGTGACATTTTAAGTTTTCTGAAAAGACCATAGAGTTTCTCAGCGTTCTGGTGTTCATTAACCAGTGTTGGAAATTTATTTTTTAATTAGTTTTACAACCAACTCATAGGCCACTCAGAAATGAGGTGAAGATACACATAACAAAATTGGCTTTGTCATTTAACAGACAGTTACTTGTTTTGTATGGTTATTTTAAAAAACTGAACTTTAACATAACCGTAGAAGAACACACAAGTCAGTGGTGTGTAGGCCAGTGAGTTTTTACAAGGTGAATACACCTGTGCAGCCAGCACCACGATTAAGAAATGGAGCATTTCTGGTCCCTCAGACTCTGCCCTCGGTTCTACCCCCAGGTAACCACCATCCTGACCTCTGACCCCATAGATTAATTTTGGACAAGCGAGTTAATTTTTTACTGCAAAGTGATGTTATCCAACTTGGTTCCCGATTACTGTCCTCAGACTTGTCTCTCTGACTAATGAATGTTTATAAAATGAAGTCACCTTTAAGAAATAACGATTTGCCACTACGGAGGATGGTGAAGTCACAGGGGAGGTAGCGAGGCGATGACACCTTGCTAATCATTTTAACTCAATACTATGGTAGCCCCTAATCACGTCCAGTTATTTTAAGGAAGGATTTATTTCTTGACCTTGCATGACACCAGGAAAATGTGTTTCTCTGCTTTGATGACTTTCCTCTGTGATGTTTAACGAGCTCTGTGGCACAGCCTCTGGTTCTTGGCTTCAGTTTTTAATGGACAGCAACTGTGGGAGGACATTGTGCTCAGCGGACGTCGCATTTTGTGCTCATTCGAATAGTTTCTTTCAGGTGTATTTTGGGGAAAATGAAATGTGTTTAAAATGCTCCTCTTATTACTGCATTCTTAGCCTTTTTTGACAATTGGAAATAGGTGATCATGAAGAATTTCTCCAAGAAAAATACACATTTTGTTGTGCAAGTAGCCCAAAGGTTGAATTAAAAATACAGGAGGAGAAAGAATGGCCAAGCCTTGGGTGCCTGCACGTGCTCAAAGACTTCTCGTGATTCCTTCCTGCTCCTCTTCCTGGGCTTTTTTTTTTTTTTAAATAAAATAAACTTTATTTTTTAGAGTGGCTTTACTTGTATAGTAGAATTGGGTAGAAAGTACAGTGTTCCCACAGAAACCCCCACCTCTGTACCTCCCACCCAGCCAGGTTCCCCATTAACCTCTTGCCTAGGTGTGGTGTATTTGTTACCACTGATGAGCTAATACTGATACCATATTATTAACGAACGCCCATAGTTTACCTTAGGATTCACTCTTGGTGGTGTACATCCTGTAGTTTTGACAGATGTGTAATGACACATCTCCACCCTTGGGGTATCATCCAGAATTGCCTCACTGCCTTAAAAATCCCCTGTGCTCTGCCTAGTCATCCCTCCCTCTCTCCCCACTCCTCCAAACCCCAGGCCACCACTGATCTTTTTACTGTCTCTAGTTTTGCCTTTCCCAGTGTCATATAGTTGGAATCCTACAGTATGTAGCCTTTTCAGATTGGCTTCTTTCACTTAACAATATGCATTTAAGGTCCTTGCAGGTCTTTTCATGGCTTTATAACTCTTTTCTTTTTAGTGCTGAGTAATATTCCATTGTTTGGCTTTACCACAGTTTATCCATTCACCTACTGAAAGATATCTGGCTGCTTCTCAATTTTGGCTATTATGAATAAAGCTGCTGTAAACATTTGTGTGGACATAAACTTTGAATTCATTTGGGTAAATACTAAGCAGTTGTAGTGCTATTGCTGGATCGTATGGTCAGAGGTTGTTTAGTTTTGTAAAAAACCTCTTGACTGTCTCCACATTGGCTGTACAATTTCCATTGCCACCAGCAGTGAATGAGAGTTCCTATTGCTTTGTGGGCTTTTATACACGTAGATATCCATAACCTTCTTGAGGTCAGCAGAGTTCAGTTGGGATTGTGGTATTGACCACCACTTTTCAATTTTGAAGATCTAATGAACTTTCCTTGGGAAATCCACTTGTTGCATAAAACATGTAAAATTTTATAACATCAAAGTTCATGGCTTGGAATCCAGATTGAGAGCATCTGTTCTAGCCTCTAAAATATTTAATCCCTAAATCTGCAGTTTGGAAGAACAGAAAGTCCTCAATGAAAATAACCCCTTCTTATCATTTACTGTCTTTTCTTGAGTGATAGGAACAACTTATCTATTAAAATGATTTTTTTCTCTAAGAGAGGGAATGTCAGAAGGTCTGGGTTAGTGTTACCTTTGCTTCTAAAGCCCATGACATGAAAGGTAAAATCATTGTTCTCTAGTTAGCTGGGGAAGGAACAAAGGGGCATGGACCCAGACAGATGCTGGTATAGTTGATCCATTTATTATACCCCAGCTCTGCTTTCTTTTTCAGCTGAGCCATCCTGCCACCTGTTGGCAGCTCAGCGGCAGCTCAGCTTGGGCCGGGAATCGAACCGGCGACCCTGTTTCTCAGCGCTCACACTCTTGAGCGAGCTCTTAACCAACTGAGCAACTCGGCCGGCCCTACCCCAGCTTTCTTGGAAAGGGTAGGCTAAACATTTGGAGTAGGGAGAGAGTCCAGGAGCAGAACAGTGGATAGTTGTCAGTATAAAAAAAAGATACATTTCCAAAGTTTAAAGACTAGAAGCTTTGTGCATCTCCATAGTAATTCAGCTTTGTTTTCATATTCAGAGAAAATAACATATTAAATTCAATGGTCTTCTAAAATTGGGAGCTGGAGGAGACCTTGGAGTTTATTTCATGCATAATCTTCATTTGAACTGATGAGGAAGCTGAGATTAAATGACTTGCCTTCGGTCACACTTCCAGGCAGCACCCCGAATCTATATATCCCGATTTCTATCTAGTCAGCGTGCTTTGCCACCACCCTGCCTTAAAAAATAAAAGACGTGGAGAGAACTTTTAAAATAGAAAAAAAAAATTTGAGTCCATACCATGAAATTTTGTGTGCAAGCACATGCCTTGTGGGACTTCCAGAAAGCACTTCATGACGAACACATTTGACCTGTGAAACCCTGACCCCGGGTCTAGTTGGTATTTCCCTTTCCATTTCCCTAACCATAAGAGTTTATAAACGAGTAGCCATTAATGGCTCTTGACCTCTGGGTGTTTACACAGATTTTGTTCTTTTCTTCTATTTTCAAGACTATTTCTTTATTAAATATTTTGACTATGTGTCTATTTGATGTAAAATATTTATTACAAGTATAAGAGCATCAGAGGTCAAAAGCTAAATCTGGCCCACTGGCTGGCTTCATAGTTTCTTTAAGAAATTATCGCCACTTTTGGGATCATTGGTGCCCCCTAGTGAGAAGATCAGGTAAAAGCACTAGTTAATGCATGCATGGATGCTGTTGGCGTTTCCAAAGGGGTGGTTTAGCAGTTTTGTTGATAATTAAAAATAAATGTAATATAGTCTTCTTTTTTTCTTATTAAGAAATTGAGACCAAGAAATGAGCAGCGAGAGAATGAATTGATTATTTCTTTCCTGAGGTGTTTATATGAAGAGAAACAAAAAGTGCACATCCATATCGGGGAGATAAAGCAGGTATGGCAGTTCTCTCTCTTATAATTTTACCAGGACACTGTGTAAAACAGAGTTTTGAGGATTTTATGAAGCTCTAAGACCTGTTCTTGTCCCTGTATTTTATTTTTAATTGCTATACATATAAAGAACATTTGGGAATGTGCTTGGAGAAGGTAAGAAGCTTCTTTATATGTTATAGTGGGGGTGAAGCAGTTGCTTTGAGAAGAGGACTGGCGCAGAGCATCAGAAATGAAGTTTAAGAGTAGAAATTTCCACGATGAGTGGATACTTAGCTGCAGGAAACCAGTCTGTCACCTCCCCTTTCTCCCTGGTAAAATAGAGATGGCATTATATAGCTATCTTCAGAATTACATGAAGTTGCTAGAAATTATTTGTAATATAAAGGCTATGTGAATATAAGTTGGCACTACTCACAAATCAGATATACATTAGAGAGCCTGGGTTGTGTGCTGTTCAGGTAGAGAACATTTTTTAATACCATTTCTCATGGTGGAGGTGCAGAGCCTGCCCGCCACCCTCTGCTGTCCACACACTTTGCTGAGCTTTCCTGTTTGAGAGGCTGTGTGTGTGTCAGGCTGGGGCTGCCTGAAGGTCCGTCTTTGAAGAGCTTCGAGTTTGTGGTTCATTCAGTACACACAGTGCCGTGGACCATTTTCCTATGTCTTTTGGAGCTTAAGTCAATTCCTAATAACCATTAAGCTTCAAAGCGTGCATTTTATATTTGTTTTAAGTTACTTGTAGTCCAGAAAATGTAGAGAAAAATCAGTGAAGGATGTTCAAAAAAAATCCTTAATTTTCCAAAAATATATTGCTTTTCGCCCCAAACACTGAATGCTTCTCCTGAAGGCACTTCCATGCTCATTTATGTGCTCTCTCCCCCATCAACAGCCTCTGCTTTTCTGGTAAGCTAACCATGAAGCAGTTTTACTTGGACGCATACATAGCAACTCGCCCCATTTGATTTCTGCCTTCCACTTGGCTTTGGCCATCATGTGTCTTTCCTGAACTCATAGAGCTTACAAAAACGTCTGACAGTGTTTTAAATGTCGTTGGCCAAACCGTAGGGTCCCGTAGCAGTGACGCTGATGCCAGTACACTGTCTGTGTTTTTGGCCTTTGGCCTTTGTGTGTTGACGTTTCTCCCTTCCCAGCCTGTACCCGTCAGATGGCGTGGGAGCTCTGTGCTCCTGCCTTTTAGATGGGCCACCCGGCCTAACTTTGCAGTTCATTCTCTACTTCACTTTTCAACCTATTTTTTGTCTTATTTCCATTCCTTTTTTCCCCTTTTGTGCACTACCAGTTTTTCCCTGTTCTGATTTTTTTCCCCTAACTTGTTCCAACAGGAAATCGATAATTTTGAAATATTTTGTAACTGCTAGAGGAGAATGAAGCTTCTATGGTGGGTGGAAAGTTTTGACCCAAGTGCCAATTCATTTTTATAGAACAGGGTAGTATCTTTATGATTTGGGCATAGATTAATCCAACGGAGAAATATATTTAATGGGTTTCTTTTTCCGTTTGAAAACATCAAAGAATTTAATGTAAAAACCATGCCTCACCATGTGGAACTGGTGTCTGGGCAGCACTTTCTCTCAAGGTTTTTAAACGTTCTGTTACCCAGGAGACTCATGTCTGTTGCCATGACCCCCAGGTGTGGTCGGGTGTCCTACAGGCTGGACACCCTCTCAGGCTTTTCAGAGCAGCAGCCGCTTAATAGATCGATCAGATGAAGCTTTGAGATTCACCCATAAAATCTTGCTCTCATCTTCTGCTACCGAATAGTTTAATCACATGGATTTCATGACTTTCTTGCTGCACCTAAAAGTTCCGGTAGCCTTTGAAAATGTGTGATGACTTGACCTGGAGAGAGGTAGAAGAACCGTGGCTTTGAGAGTGAATTTCTATGGCTACCGGCCTTCAAAAGCGACCAGAAAACAAGCACAGACTCAGGCCTGCGCATCTCAGAGCCAGTGGGGACGCCATACCTGCTTTTCAAAGAATAACATGATACTGTTGGAGAGCTGTCAGGGGAATCATTTCCATGAAATAAGAAAAAAAAACAAATGAATTCTCTGCAAGGATTTACTTTGGGCAAAGATCTATAAAATGTCATAGTCATGTTGTAGTCAATAGGCATATTATTTCTACTTATATGCATAGAGCCGGTGCAAAAATTAATAATATTAAATGAACTGCCACTTACTGAATGCTTGCCATTGTGCCAGATACAGTTCTAATTCTTTACACGAATTACTCCATTTCTTCTACCACAATTTTTTTGAGGCAGATGGTATAACACTGATTAGTCAGAGGCAAGGACCGGGAGCACAGGTCACGCCTGTTTGCTAGGTTGTGGTGGAACCATAAGTCTGAGGTCCACGAACATCATTTTAATCATGCCTTTTTGGAGCTTCACTAACAAAATGTAACTACTCATTGATTTGCCTGCGTTCATTTTCCAGAGATAAGTTTTTCTTTCTTTTTTTCTGACATTTCATTATGGAAAATTGCAAACATACAGAAAAGTTGAAAGATTCACACAGTGAACATTCATGTTCCTACCATTCAGATTATAGTTTTTAACATTTTGTTCTGTTTGTTTTTCCATATATCTGTCTGTCTATGATGCCACCATATTTTTGATGCCTTTTAAAGTAAGTCCCCAACCGATATCAGTACTCTTTATCCCTAAACACTTTAGCATGCATGTGATTAACTAGAGTTCAGTATTTGTTCACAAATTTTCTTTTTAGATAAAATTTACATACTGTAAGTTGCACCAAATCTTGAGTGTCCCATTTGTTGAGTTTTGAAGACTTCATACATTCAGGAAGCCTAAACCCCTGTCAAGATAGAGAGCACCCTCCATCATGCCAGAAGGTACCCCCTTAGCCCTTTTTCCAGTCATCCTCACTACCCTTTCCCCCAGGCAACTACTGTTTTGATTTCTTTCACCATATATTAGTTTTGCCTGTTCAGCACCTTTTTATAAATGGAATCGTAGAGCATGTACTCTTCTAGCTCTGGCTTTTTTTCACTTAGCATAATGTTTTCGATATTCATCCATGCTGTTACACACATCAGTAGTTTGTTCCTTTTTAGTCCGTGGTGTCAGTACCACAATTTTTCTCCGTTCTCCTTTTGATGGTGCTCGTTATTATGAATAAAGCTGCTAGTAGAGTTGCTGTGACACTATTGGATGGTGGGTTCTGAACTAAATAAACTTCAGCATTTAAAACTTGGCTTCAAACTTGCATGTTTAGAGTTTACCCATCTATTGTGGGATGGGTGATATGATGACTGCCGTAAAATTCACTCTAGAAGCCCGTATTAGAAACTTACCTCGGAACCAGCGTCATCTTCAGAGGAGTAGCTTCTAGATGCTTATTTTAAAATAACAAGGAATATGATATTTTCTAAATGTGAATTATTTTTTAAACATTTTTCTAAATGTTAGTTATTTTCAAGTTATATTTGAATTATGATAGACATGAATAAGAATCTTATTAGGTGATGGAGGAGAGTAGAGGAAGCATTGACTTAAGCATACAGAGATTCTTATAGCCTGGCCGGAAAAAAAACAAAACACAAGTGCACTGTTTCTTGTGTCTGTGTAAGATCTACTATGTTCTGCCAGCCTGTTAGCCAATATTTTCTTTATATATCAAAACAATCAATTCTAAGGGCTTCTATTTTATGAAAACTTTTCATTACGAGTTTGAAAGCAAACCCATAGCTTCTTAACTTTGTGAGTGAACTGGTGCTGGGTCGAAGGCAGGCCCGTGGGGGCCCTTTGTGGGCCATTCCCTTTGTCCTGGAGGCTGCGCTAGTTAGGACAGGCCTGGCAAATGATTCTTGGTAAATGATTGTACAGGACCAGCTGCAGCTATAAGCCACCTGCCCGTGGGACATGCTCAGCAGGCACTTAGTGTTTGTCAAGTGAGTCTGTTACTTCAAGTATGTGTTTCCCATGGGCCTGCCTGGTGATTGTTGCATATGCACTCATTCCTTACTTAGCAAGTGAGTATGAAGTGTCCAGATTATGTTCAGGGTACTACTCTGTGAGAAACACAAAGATAAATGATAGCCCTCCCTCTTGAAGTTCTAAGCTAAGTCATTGTTGTAATGCATGCTCTGATTCTCATAGAAGAAAGCTCTGGATTACTGGACAAAACTGAATGTAGCACTCATCAGAATCTTTCTTTTATGCCTTGGAAAATGTACAGCACTGAATGGCGAATTATGATTTCATTATTGCAAAGAAGACGTAATGTCTTGATCAGTGAATAACTGAATATAATAGAAAATGCTTAATCAGAATAGAAATCAGAAAGACAAATTAAGAGACCATCTATATGCATCAGATTTGCAGAACTTTAAAAATCTGGCAGTGCCATGTAAAGATAAACTCATGCTGATCTTGCAAATATGAATTGGTACTATTTATGGAGAGTAATTTGACAATCTCTGGTACAGCCGAAGATGCACCAACTTAGTGACCCAGCGAGGACATTTCTAATATTTACCTTGCAAAAACTTTCACACCTGTGGTAAGGACTTGTGTACAAGAGAGGTTACTGCAGTCCCTTTGTAAAAAGAATCAATGTTTAACAACAGGAATATGAGTACGCTGTATTGTAATTAAACAGTGAAATGCCACACTCTGATTAAAGTGAGTGAATCAAAGAACATTTGTCAACATGGATAAATCTCAGAAACAACATTGAAAGAAAAAAGCTAATTATAGAAGGATGTGTACAGGATGATACATTCATTTAAAATTTCAGCTACACGTAAACCAACATACTTTACATATATAAAACTGCAGAGTATGAGTTGATATGATAAACACCAAATTCAGGAGAGGGGTTATTTCTGCAGATGGAGGAAGGAGAGTGGCTCCAGGAGGCTTAAAATATGCCTGTAATGTTTTCTATTCAGTAGAAAGCAAATAGAATAGCTATAATTATCATGACAGCTGATGCTTATTGTGAGTCAGGTATGTTCTGAGTGCTTTAATGTGTATTAATTCATTTAAATCTCATAACTGCTCTGTGAGAAAAGTTCACTGTGCATCCTCAGGCTGCACATGGAGGAACTGAGAGGGGCAGCAGGTAATACCCTGCCCAAGGCTGCATAGCCAGGGAGCAGCAAAGAAGTGTCTCACCTGGGCATTGACCTGCAGAGCCGTGCTCCTCCCAGTTCTCAACACTCAAAAATGTCAGGTTGGCCAAAGGGGGTGGGGGCAGTGTCATGTGAAGCAATCAGGTGAGAAATCATAGAAGTAGGAAGCAGTTTATCCAGAGAGCTTTGTAGTGCTTATATATATATATATATATATATATATATATATATATATATATATATATCTGTGAATAAGTAGTATTAAACGTCATTTAGTGGTTGGCAAACAACTCCTTCATCTTGTCAGTTTCCTGGTATGGTCAGTTAAGGAAGAGAAGCTTGGTGGCAGAGGAGAATGAAAGGGCTGATGGAAACCATCGGTGGGAGAGAGGAAATAGCAGAGTAGATAGAGCTTCAAGAAAGGAATGAAGTGATTAGGCAGAGAGAATGGATTCTTCAGTTGATAAATTTATTTTGTCTCACCCTCTGAAATACCTCAAAAGGTAAGTTGTTCTTTTACTTTGAAAAGCTAATCATAGCTACCTTTGTACCAGAAGCTGTTCTCAGGGCTTTACTGGCTTTACTTGTTTGGATCTCACAGCATAGCGTTTTGATTAGATCTTGAGGTTGGGCTCAATTTACGGAAGGAAAAATTGCAGCCCAGAGAAAGTAACTTGCACAAGGTCAGTTAGTTAATGATGGATCTCTGACCTGACTGCAGAGCCCAGCTCTGAACTGCTTGGTTCATTGATTGGTTTCCAAGCACATTTCTTTATTTCGTTTGGAGTAGGCAAAGCAACATTTTGAGGCAAAATTATTTCCTGGATTTGCAGCCATGTCACTGAGGAGCAGATCAACTGAGGTCACATACAGAATAATGTCCTGGGGTCAGAAAGGTGCATTCTAGAGATTTTTCATTCCTTTAAAAAGGAAGAAAGGAAGGGCGTTGTGACTTAACTTTTCATTGTTTTACTTTTTAGACACCACAGATTGCAGCAGAGAATATTGGAAGTGAATTACCATCTAGTGCCACTCGATTTAGGCTAGATATGCTGAAAAACAAAGCGAAGAGATCTTTAACAGAGTCCTTAGAAAGTATTTTGTCCCGGGTAAGTAGCATAATTTTTCCTAATTTAAGTTAAATCATTTTTTTTAAGAGAGCATAATATTCGATTCTTTGCTTTTATTTCATCAGTACTCAAAGTATAGAACGGTAAAATCTTTTTTTAATGTCTTTTCAGCCTTAGAACAATGTTATCTACACTTTAAATTCAGTTTTTAACTTGGCCTGGGGTAAAAACAATTCTCTACTCTTGTACTGTACTATATATCCCATGGATTTTTTTTTTCTTTTTTGTCTCCCAAAAGAGTGTTATTCGTTGGCCAGTCCCTATAAAGGGCACAGATTGGATATGCCTAGGTGTGGGTTCGGTTCTCTAAGTGTCACTGGGTACAACTTTAAAATCCAGGTACTGTCAGCTGCTCTTGTTTTGTGTGTGGAACTCTCAGTAAACTACAGGGCAAATACCACCCACCTGTTTTTGTAAATAAAGTTTTACTGAAACAGTCACATCCATTCATTCACCTGTTGTCTGAGGCTACTTTTGTGCAGTGTTGAGTAGTTGCCACAGACACCATATGGCCCACAAAGCAAAAGAGATTCATTTTCTGCCCTTTACAGAAAAGTTTGCAGACTGCAGCTCTATAGGAATAACTAGAGGGCCGGCTGAGTGGCTCAGTTGGTTAAGAGCTCGCTCAAGAGTTTGAGCTCTGAGCAACAGCGGTTCAAGTCCAGCCCGAGCTGAGCAGCCGCTGAGCTGCCAACAGGTAGCAGGATGGCTCAGCTAAAAAAAAAAAAAGGAATAACTAAGTATACATATACAGCCATCTTGGAGTTCTTTGAGAAATGACACCCTCCCACCCCCAATGAGTATGAATACCCTTGACGACACTTTTAAGAAATCAAAGCTTGATGCCTTTCTAGAGCTTGCAGTGTTCTTCTTATAATTCTTTTTGTTTTCCTAATACATTTTGTTTGAAGATGTTTCTGAGAGTTTCGCAGCATCCTTAGAGGTAATTAAAAATAGTCCATTTAAAAAACCCAGGTTGGGGGTGGCTGCCTTTGAGAGCTCCTAAATGGGGAGGATACTGTGTGAGTATCACGCAGCTGGCAGGTTAAGATGACGCATGACTTGAGAGAGAGTTGTTCAGTACGTTCACGTTAGCGCTTGCTTTTCTTCATGGATGAATTGTCCCTTCTTCCTGCCTACTTTAAAACTGCCAGATGACTAATCCACAAGATGTTTTGGAGCATTTAAGTTAGTGTGTGATTAAAAAAAAAAAGAAAAAGAAATGTTGAATGTCTTAATGTACATATATGTGTGCTCAGCAGCATTTCTCAGTAGGTGGACTTTTTCTGAGCTTATGTAAGTAAAACAAAATGCTTCTAGCCGATGCCTCTGCAGACGCCTCGGGGGTCATTTTCTTTATGTAGAGTAACTCGACTGCCTTTTCTTTATATAGGGTAATAAAGCCAGAGGCCTTCAGGAACATTCCACCAGCTTGGACCTGGACAGCTCCATGTCTAGCACATTAAGTAACACCAGCAAAGTAAGCACATTTTTTTTTTTATACGACGCCCTGAAGAAGCCAGCAAATAGGTCTTGCTCGTCCCCCATCCACAAGGCCTATCAAAGAGGACAAAAGAGGCCTCATTGCTCCAGTCATGAAAAGTTTGGTGCTTCCAGACTTCGTGGTGCCAGTGGAGGGGCTGGTCATGCATCATACTGTAGCATTAAAGTTTTACATAACAACGCAGATGGCCATTCCATAAACAAAAAAAACAGATCACAATTTTAGACCACTGAGACCTAATTCATCAGAAAGCCACCAGTGGGTTTCTTTCCCAAGTAGACTTTCCAATATTAAAAATAATTGAAATTAGGAAAACCTCAGAAGTGGGTTTGTGAACTCTGAGAAGCATGCAACTTAAGTTCCTGAAACTTACTTCATCCTCCAGCTGGTTCTGTGACTGTGATTAAACATTACAACTAAACTTCAGCCCTTGCATCTGCCACCAAGCACAGCTTTGCAATAATGAGAAGCCAGTGGTCCCCTTTGGTAACAACCTGTGTCTCTCTCCTTGTTTTAATTTCTTGCTTTCTAAACATATAAGCATATTTAAACTTTGTTAGTTCAACCTTTTAGCCACCAAAATGGGGATTTTGGGCTTTGTGCTGGGGAGGTCAGCTTTCCTTCTGCTACCAGAGGGCTTTTGATGCAAGAGAGAGGGAATTTTTGTGGTGGCCAGCTCCTTACCACAAGAGCTCCAAGTTCTAATGAGATCCCTTCTGGGCATTTGGCCTTTTCTTTTCTAAAAAGACCATAACCAACAATAAGAAACACATTTAACAATGCGAAATGGTTCACAAACACATCCATGCACAAAAAAGTTAAAATAAGACTTCACCAAACAGTTATTTACTGTCAACAACTTGTGATACGTACTGGTATTTTCTATTCTGTTTTATTTGAAAAATGTCCACGCAGACCACTGAATTGATAACGCCTGCCTACTAACAACGTGTTACAGTGTACAGTTTGAGAAACACTTCCTCAGGTGAATGCTTCTCAGATTCCAAGGTGCCTCTTTAATGGGGCTCTGTTAAAAGGCAGGTTTTGGTGCAGTAGGCCTGGAGGGAGGCCCGAAATGCTGACTTTGTGCCAAGCTCCAAGGCCATGCTGATGCTGCTGGTCTGGGGACCCACGTTGGGGAGCGAGGCCCCAGACACCAGTCTTCGGAAGACGACTTGCTAGGTTACAATCCTGTGGAGCGGAGCACTAGCCGCCCTCCACCTACTGCTTATCGATTCTACCTGTGATTCAAGTTTGGAAACACTGTTTTACCTGCTATTACAGATGGGTAAGACAGAGCCCCTGCCCTATAGGAACTTGTTTGGAAGGAGAGAGATGACAGGCCCACAGGTAACACCAGCACCAAGTAGAGTATGGTTGGATCCTTGAAAGTTTGAATAAGGGACGGTGGTAACTTAGCGGTCACAGGAGCGAGAGGAAGACAAATTATCTTTGGCCAGTGGAACCAGCGGAAGCTTGAGGGGAGGGACAGTGAGGCTTTTGAATTAAATCTTGAAGAAAGCTTAGGAATTGGGCCTGTAGAAATGGGCAGGGAAGAAGGCGTTTCAGAAAGATCAGTGCACATAAAGATACTGTGAAGAAATTAATGTCACTCAAGTGACTTTTCTAGTAAGTGTTTGGCTTGTTTTAAAATTCTTCAAAACACAAATGTAGGCATAAATTTGAATTTATAGGGTAGTTCTAAGAGAAACGCAACTTTTCGGAAGCTGTGTGTGTGTATTGTATGTGTATTTTTGTGTGCACTTACACATCTTTTTTCATCCTGAGGTTGAAAGACTGTTGTAAAGGTGCACATTTTATGCAGTTGGATCTCTTCCAATAAACTGATCTTCTAGGAATTGCAAAGAAGCTGAACATCCGAGTGGCCCTTTCAGGTGTCAGGTTAAGTTAAGGGTTAGCTCTTTCACATAATTTAGAGGGATGTTAATGAGAATTGAGATGAACAGGTTTGTGTGATGGAGATTGTTTGCTGCGATATATCGTCATAGACAAATTTTTAAATCCTTAAAAGAATCTTTGGAACTGTAGAGTCATGAAGAATAAAAAATTACAGTTTTGTTTAAAGTAATTAATATTTGATAATACGATGTTGGAAATTAAGCTTTTCCTTTCTTAATACCTCTAAAATAAGCGTGTATAACCTCTTCCCTCAATAAACAAAAATTTAATTTTTAAAAATTAAAATCCTTAGTACCTGTCATCTAAAAGGCACTCAGCTATACAGCAAATGAAGGGATAAAATTTGGATCCTCCAGTCTCCCGTTAGGTACATTCATCCCCTTTTACTGTTTTCATGTTGATTTGTTTATCCCTCCTAGCAGTTTCAGTAGGGTAAAACTGGTACACTGCCTCTTATTTTATATTTTTCAATTTGAGGAAAATATATTGGCTACCAACCAAATCCTGTGCGCCATGCTAACTAAGCATCAGTTTACATGAGTGATGGTAGTTCACACCTTTGAAAAAGTATGCATCTTAAAAGCCTTCAGTGTTGAAATATTGTCATGATTCTCAACATGTTTGTGTACCCATTCAGTAAGTTCATTGAGTACCTAATAAAGCAGTAACTTAGGTTTGTATAACATTTTACAGTGAACAAAGTACTTTCAGTTCTATTATCTTGCTTAATTCTGAAACCCAGTGAGATAATTTTTCACTGTACCCTTTTACAGATGAGGAAATGGAGGCACAGAAAGAAGTTAAGTGATTGGCCCTGAATCATAGCAGTGAGTGCCCAGAGAGAGGTTTTCCATATTCTAAGAAAATATAGGGTATAATTTTTAACTCTCAAGATTACGAAGTTAAATCTTAACAGTAAATCACATTTATAGAGAGCCTTAAGATGTGGGTAGAATGTATGAACACACTTGGCAGAGAGAAAGAACTTGAGTTGATTAAACGGTGCAAACAAGTCATACAACACTCGTTGTGCTTCTTACAAGCAGTAGTCAAGACTTGTGTTTCCTACAGAGAGGGAGCTGTTTTGGTTTTGCTTAGAACAGTTATATGTCATGGCTTCAGTCCTTCATGCTTGTGTTCGGGCAGTTTCCCATTTGTCCAGCAAACTCGCGTTTTTATATCTGACAAGCAGGTTTTTAATGGACCTTTATTTCCTTATGTATTTTGGTGGCCTCTAGATGGCATTATAACCAGAAGATGTGCTCACATATTGAAATGCTTTCCTGCCGCTGGCTTAGAGATTTGTAAATCCCCCAGATTCCCGGTGATGTGTCTGATCTGCTGTCTGTCTTTCCCCAGGAGCCATCTGTGTGTGAAAAGGAGGCCTCGCCTGTCTCAGAGAGCTCCATCCGGCTCCTCGGCTCCTCGGGTGAGCTGTCCAGTGACTCGGAGGGCCGTCCCGCAGAAGAGCCAGCTCCACTCTCACCCCAGCAGGGTTTCAGAAGGCGCGCCAACACCCTGAGTCATTTCCCTGTGGAATGCCAGGAACCGCCGGAGCCTGCGCAGGGGTCTCCAGGGGTCTCGCAGAGAAAACTGATGAGGTATCACTCAGTGAGCACAGAGACGCCTCATGAACGGAAGTAAGATTTGTTTAAAATACAAACTGGTTGTGTAAATAGCTGGGCATACCTGTTACTAACCAGGTATGTGCACCCCCAGGTATGAGTATTGGGTCAAAGAGAAATCCGAGTCAGGTGTTTTACCCTTGGCTTAAAAAGATAAAACCTGAAGCAGGGACATGTGCTTTCCAACTTTTCCCTTTGGGAAACATGTAGATGTAAGTGATATTCGTTACTTGTCAAGTAACAAGTATTGTGAGGAAGCAGGTAAAACTGAATAGAAATGGCCCTTACAAAGTATAATAATCTGTCCTCAAGCAGCATGAGAGGCAGTGTTGACTTTGGAGCTTAGCTTCTGGCTTTGAGGAAAAGCAGTTGGTGGGCCAGCAGGTGAATCTGCTCACTTGAAAACCTGGAACATTCTTTGGTGGGGCCGAGATGCCCCAGGCACAGCATGAGAGGCGGCAGGAACGCCTGCGTGGGCCGCGGCAGCCTTGGGTCCTGGTCCCAGCTCTGTCCTGAACTGGTTGTGAACGTGCTTAAATCTCTATGACAAAATTGGAATAGTTTTCTCAAATCTCCTTCAGTGTGAGGATTCTAGATTCTTCCAGCAAGATTTGCTAAATTTAGTAATTGGGCCTAATGAGCAGTTGGAATTTCCTGGGTACAGAGATGGGTAAGCGCTCTAGTGACAGACGTTCTTCTCTCTGCTTCTTCGGGGGTTCCTTGGCGATTCGTTTGACCCCAAGTGTCAGAGATCATACATGGACATGGAGTTATCTTTGAAAATAACTTTAAAAATCTTTTACAGCCACTCACCTCATAAACATGAAGTAGGGTCACACGCGCCTACAATCGCTGCCTTCCTGGGACTGGCGACCACAGATGCCACGGGACGTGTGTGTCAGTGTAGGTCATCCACAGATAATGGAGAGTCCATACGGGGGTGTTTGAAATGTTTCCGCTAAAGAAGTGACAGTGTTAACAATCCTCAAACCATGTAGCAGAGCCCCTCCGCCTTGTTTTCAGTCAGCCATTGAAAATAGTTATGATGGCTCTTTGGAATTCAGCTGATAGCTATGATCCCCCAGCAGGACATACTTCAGAAGCTAGTATTTAATAATATGACAGTTTAGAGACAAGCATATTTTGAGTCCTTATGAGGTTCTTGACATGTTTCTGAAAGCCCTGTATACACAGTATGTACTTGTGCGTCTCCACGGTGTTCCCACTCCTCTATTTCTGGCATTTTCTGTGGTAATGGAAACATTCCTGTCTAGAGATTCCAAAGTGCTCTTGCTAAACCTGCTGTTTCATACGAGGCAGAGGTGGTAGAATTGAGTATCCCTGACAGTGCGTTTCCCTTCTCCCCTGAGAATGCAGCTTCCTATGGGTGATGCTGGACATAGGTGCTGATCGGGACCAGGAAACATCCCCCTTCCTCCTCCCCTCCCTTTTCCCTTCCTCCCTTCCTCGCTCCCTCCTTCTCTCCCTCTCTAGCCTACCTATTTTGCTTTCTGCACTCCTTATGAACTCTTCTCATTTACGTACAGGAAATGAGACATTAACATTCAAGGCAGGTTATTGTTCATTTTAAAGAGAGATGCATTTTAAAAACTCAGGATTTTGTTTTGCTTTCCTTTGCTTTTGTTTTAATTTTTTTTTTAATTATTTCTTCCCTGTCAGTTCCTAAAAAGGGAACAGAGGAAACAGTACTGTTGGGAAATGATTAATTATAACTTTTCACAATAGTCTTTTTACTAAAATCTACCTTTGCCAATGAGAGAGGCTGCACAAGCAAAGTGAAAAGCAACCCCCCACCTCTGTGCCGTCCCTATAAAAGTAGTGAGACACCAGCATCTCCTGTCCTGCCCTGCGTCTTCCATGTTTCCCCTCAGCGTTTCCCCCTCTCTCCCTCTAACCCTCCATGCCTTCTCTCTAATTGCTATTTAGTGGGAATCATCCACCTGTTGGCGAGTCTAAAAGTTGCTCAGCTCCTTCAGCTCCTGCCCCTCCACCTCGTCTTAACCCCTCCGCCTCCTCGCCAAATTTTTTTAAGTACCTAAAACATAACTCGAGTGGAGAACAAAGTGGGAATGCTGTGCCAAAGAGGTGAGCACACTCGCATGGCAAGTTCAGTGTTGTTTGTCTTCCTGAGAAGCTCACACAGAAAAGATGTGCTGATTGGAAGAAACCTGGGGCCACTGTGCACGCGCGCACGTGTGTGTGTGTGTGTGTGTGTGTGTGTGTGTGTGTGTGTGTGTGTGTACACACATGCATGCTTGTGTTTGTCTGTTTTGGGTTTCATTATTTTCAGTCTATCATTCGAACTGACTTAATTTTATTATTGATTAATTTTTCTCAAGATTATTATGAAAACAGGTTTTGACGGCAAGTCCTTTTTATATATTTATTTTCACATTCCCTTGCCTTAGTGTACACACACACACACACACACACACACACACACACGTTAACAAAACTGTTTGACCATATACACTGCAGCCTGTGCCATATGAGAACCTGCCTCATAAATTTAGGAAAATTATTTTTCCAATTTGAAAGGAAGAGTCATTTTGGAAGATGGACTGAATTTTTTGTCGTTTTGTTTTTCTTTTTATTCTGGTAAGAATTCTTAACAAGAAATCTGCCCTCTTAACACATTTTTTAAAGTGTACAGCACAGTGTTGTTAACTGTAGGCACAATGTTGTATGTATGGCAGATCTCTAGAATTTGTTCATTTGCATAACTGAATGGACTGATAATTTAAAATCATTCCTTGATTCCATTCATTTGAAATGGAATTTATTGACTAACAAATGAAAGTGAAATCTCATTTGTAAACTGTTTTTAATTTCTTACCTGGTTTAATTTTTTTAGCATTAGGACTAAAATGTTTCTTTTATTTCAAAGCTCATGTTTTATACTTTGTGTGTTTATATTTCTTTACCCTAAACGCTTTTTCAACCAAACTCTCAGCATCTCCTACCGTAATGCCCTGCGGAAAAAACTTCATTCTTCTTCCTCTGTGCCAAATTTTCTAAAATTTCTGGCTCCTGTAGATGAAAATAACACCTCTGACTTTATGAACACAAAAAGGTAGGGTTTAATTTAGCTATATCAAGCCTGTGTAGAAGTGTTGAATTATTGTTAGATATATAGGGATTTTTCAGCTGTTTTTTTGTCGTTTAAAAAATCATTTTAGCTAAATCTATTGTATCTTCTTTCTATTTTCTTACTGAATGTCATTTTAAAAAATGTACAGTTAACGTACAGTTCTCTAATTTTGACTAGGGTTAGTTTATTAATATGTTGTTATCTTCAGAAAATTAAAGAAAGCCTTAACTAGTTCTCTAAGTGATAGCAGTTTCTGAATAGTGAGCACATGGCTGGACATCTGATCTGTAAGTTTAGGTGATTGCTTAGTGGTGGGTATATACTCAGGTGTAAATTATAAGGGCTTCGCCAAGTTGTCCTGTGAATAGGAAGAGCATTAATGATTAACTGCTATTTATGTATATTGATAAACATACTCATTTGTAGATTTAAAAATACAAATATTAAAACAATAGTCATCAGCAAGTGACTGTGTAATTATTGCCTCGATAGTTCTATGTATTTTAACTTTTTAAATGTTTTGTGGTGATCCATGGAGACATAGACCTATGCTGAGAAAATATTCCCACAGACAGACCAGGGAAAATTACAGCCCTGGTGAAGTGGCACCAAGAGAGGTCCAATTGGAAGCTAATGATCCCTGGAGCATATATCGTAGTATCTTTTACAATGGAAATAAATTAAGGGCATGTAATTTTACTCTTTTTGTGAAAAGCATCCTGTAAGAAAGCCGTGCTTTAGGTGTGTTGACCCACTGTGAGTTTAACTTCCGTGATTACCTAATTATGTTTTTTTATACAAAGATAACTTGTAATATAGTGCTTTGTTTAAAGAACAAAAAGTTAAGCTAAATAAATACCTGTTTTTATATCTCTCCACCAATTATTAATCAATTATCTTGTAATTTTAGGGATTTTGAATCCAACGCCAACCACCTTGGTGACACCATTGGGACCTCTGTAAAGACACGGAGACACTCGTGGAGGCAGCAGATATTTCTCCGAGTGGCAACCCCACAGAAAGCGTGTGATTCTCCCAGCAGATACGAAGGTAAGGCCCACCCCTGAAATAAAGCTGCTGGATTCTAGCATGAGTTTTACCTGGAACCAATGTACGTTTCGTGGAAGAAGAGGTAAAATGAGATTTCAAGTGAAAATCAGTTTGTGATTTTAAAGCTCCTTGGGTAAGAAGGTCTAATGGCAAGGCCTTTCTCTATTTCCAGAGGATCCCCAAATTCTGGGGAAAACTATAACAGAACTCAGCAGCTCGCAACACCTCATGTTAAAAAAAAGTACCTCTGGGGCCGGCCGAGTGGCTCAGTTGGTTAAGAGCTCGCTCAAGAGTGTGAGCTCTGAGCAACAGCAGTTCAATGCCTGGCCCAAGCTGAGCAGCCGCTGAGCTGCCAACAGGTGGCAGGATGGCTCAGCTAAAAAAAAAACCAAAAAACAAAAAACAAAACCTCTACTGAGCTTTTGTGATCGCTCACCATTCTGCCCATGGGAATGTTGAGGGGCTCAGCCTGACATCCCCACTGCTCTTCCCACTGTGTTTCCAAGTTTGTCTGGATTCCTTCTTCGCAATCTGAGTGTAGGTTTACACACTCCCTTACTATGCTGTGCTTTTAGAGTTAGCCCCCATCCCAGTGCTCTGGTCACTCCGTGTGTAATGCTCCGTGTGTAGTCAGTTGCTGTGGCTCATTCTGGTGTCATAGGAGGACCGTCTTGTGCCCTTTACCTGCTTGGTCCCCTAAAGAAATGCATAATATTATGAAGTCTGTCTTTAGGCCTACTTATGTTAAGTTATATTGTAAAAAATGACTTAGTAAATGTAATTCTGACTAAAATTAATATTTTTTTCTGCAGTGTTATAAACTTTCAACAATAAATGTTTACTTTCCTTAGTGTTCTTTAATGAAGAAACTTTTTTTTTTTCCCCTTAAAAAAGCAAAGCAAAAAAGTAGACCTCCAAAGATTACTTGAGGTCCTAGGATTGTTTGTGGTGTGGATTCACTCTTGTCCCTTGACACGCTTCTGCGTGTCTCTTAGGAAGCAGTACAGGCTAATCTGAGAGTCTTCAAACTAGGTTCCATGCATCTGTCTTGAGGGAGGAGGCGTTATTGGAGGACCTCTCCCCATACTCCGCCTCCCTCCCTCCTCTCACCCTGCACCCCTCTTTCTTGTTTCTTTTCTCATCCTCTCCCTTCCTTTTCCTCCCTCTCTCAGAGTTCTCCTTAATATTTAATTTTAAAAAATGAATCCTCTGCCAAGTTAAACAAAAGCGTGGTTTGGGCTCAGCTAGCTTTGTGGCGTATATCATATAACTTCACTTACACTAAGTCCCACCAGTCATAAAACAGTTATAGTAATAACAGTTATAGTTACATGCAATTACTTTAAATTATAAATGTGAAAGTACTTTGAAAACCTAAATACATGTTGAATATCAAGTGATAACGTTATTTTGGTTACCTTTATTGAGATGGGATCTCTGGTCTTAGGCTTCCTATACTGTTGTTCCCCAACAGGAGTGAGGTAAAGTAATACTAGAAAGGCTGGGTTATAAATTCAGTGAAATTTAAAAACCATTTTTCAGTAAATTGAGTTCTTTCAATTTGTATCAATTTAGAAAACTTAGTTTCACTTTCACGTTGGAGAAAACAAAAGCCTGGATTGTGTGACCCAGTTAGTTCCCTCCATTTTAAACTTCTTATCCAAAGGGGTCTGCTAGGGGCATGGCTGGGCTTGTAAAATGTGCAGCCCCGGGGACTGTGCTCCTGGTAAGCAGCTCTGGCCTCTAAGGAAACGGCTGGTGACTTCTGCAGCCCCACCCCAGTGCCTCTCTTTCCCTGCGTGGGAAGTGTGGTGAGTTTCCGGGTGGGCACTGGCATCTCCCATTCCGTGTCTGAGGACCCAAGTCAGAAGGTTAGTCAGTGCTGGCAGATGTTTGCGTCTCTGGAGAACCCCAAGATACAATGGGCGAGTAGGACGTATTGTGGGCTGCACGAGAGAACGTGATCTCGTGGCACCACAATGGGTAGAAGTGCTAGGAAAGGGAAGCAGGAAAAGTGCCACTATTTGTGTCCACCTTCTCTATTTGGAAACTTTTCTTTTTAATCCGTGTAGTCTGGGAGTATTGTAAGGGATGGATGTTTAATTATAAGTTGCATTCTCATTGATGATATTTGCAATGACAGGGTTATTTGGTGTATCCTGGGCTAGCTGACACAGTTAGGCCGAAGTTTGGACTGAAGGAGATGGGATAATGGATTGTTGCCCCAGAGGTCAGAGCACTGGTTTCCAGGATACCGAGAAGGGAGCACTTGGTTTGTCCATCTCCCCCAATGGAAGTGATACTCAAGAGAGTTCCCAAGTGTGCACCTGACAGGGGCCCTGGGATCACTCACGTATTGATAAGAACGTAGAGAGCTGGCCTCGTCAGCATGAGAAGGCCTGAGGCGGTCACGAAGGCGGCGTGGGAAGGACTTGCGAGCTCATTTAGGGTCCTCTTGTGAAACTAGTAGCAGAGCACCTGCATTCAGATCCCAGCATTTCGCCTTAGGAGCCAGGCACTGGGACAAGCTGTCTACATTTCTTACCTATGACACAGGATTAATTATGCCTCCTGCCATACTGATTGAGATAAGGGAGCCTGATGTTTTTACTGACATTTCAAAAAAAAAAGCTTTCAGAATTCGTAAGATTAGAAAGAAAAGTCAGCAAAGTGAATGCTTCCAGTATAAAGTCGCCTCCCACGTGTGCAAGTCCCTCTGGTGCTCCCAGCCGGACGCTTCTCTTGCCTCTGCCCCTCGTCGTGGGGGCGCCGTGGAGCCCCTCAGAGGAGCTGCTGTGCTGCGCGGCCAGGGCTTTTCGATTCCTCTCACTGCCCGTGTGAGTGGGGTGGCCCTGCCTCCCCCTGCCCCTGCCACCGTGGAGATGCCCACCTGCTCCAGAGCGTTCTTCCTGCCAGGTCCTTGGCGGCGCCTTGTTGGCGGGTGTGTAGGGGGGAGGGGGAGGTGGGGAAGTGGGGACCAGAGGGAAGCCCAGGAGGGAGAACTGAACAGTGATTTGTGGCTGAAACAACAGCAGTGAAGTTTTAATGTTTAAAAATAGTGCCTCAGTATTGCGGTAAGCTGTACCCACAGGGGGTTGTTATGGAGATTGAAGTGGGATAGTATATTTCATGTGTTTAAGTGTATAACGTGTAATGATAATGCGCTTAAAATGCTTGGTGCAGTGGCCAGGAAGGTATTAAGACCATGCATGACTGTGTGAAGCAGCCTGTCCCATTTTATTACATATAAGTTTTCAAATGACCTTAGATTGAGCCCAGTCCTGCTCCCTGTCATTCTGTCCCTCGGTTCTGTTCTGGTCTCTGAAGCCACATGGAGTACACTTGCTTCCAGTTCCTGTCTTCAGGTGGCAGCTGCTTCTACGTGGAAGCCTTTAAAGCTCTTCTCCAGGCTAACTGACATTTTCCCTGCACCCTCACACAGTCCTCTCTACTCAAACAGAGCCCTGTGCTCTGAGCACATTTTGTCTGTCCCTGTGGAAGGAACCCCACGCCCGGCACAGCGTCCCCACTGTCTCCAGCCCTTACACTGAGTGGCCGCTGTCCACCTAATGCAGGGTCTCCTTCATAATCTGTTTCTGCTTTAAATAATTAACTCTCATTCTTGACTTTTACGCTATCTTATCCTTTTGGCCATGAACTCTTATTTTAAAATTGGGGCTGATTTCTAGCTTCCTTAAGAAAGAGCTCTTTAAAAGTTTTTTCCCAAACAAGTCATACCTATGAAGTGCTACCGCATCGGTTTTGGCCAGTCCTGTGAGGGTGGTGTTGAGAATTGATGTTGGTGACTAGGTATGTTGTAGAGAGCTGTGTAAAGTTGCTGAGCCATGCCATCTGTGTCTTTAAGTAATTGATAAAAGTGCTAAACACAAGAAACTGTCCCTGCCTTTCCTAGCCTGTAATCATCTCTGATTCTTCGGGCCCCATACCATTCAGCTGCTGTTGGTTTTCCCACCGTTTCCTGCAGGAAGGTGTCCCGAGAGACCCCAGGCAGCACTAGGTGACTGTCATCATACAGTGCCCACCTTTCCTCTCTGACAAAGACTCCTGTCCGGGGCCCTTAACTCTCACCACACATGCTCCGAGCTGAGGCCTTTGCGCAGACTATTCTTTCTTCCTGGATGCCTGTTTCCCCAATATTCCCGTGACTAACTGCCTCACTTGCTTCACATCATTTCTTAAAATCACCTTTTCAGTGGAGCCTGTCTGGCCACTCTGTCTCAAATTGTCCCCTGCCCCTCCTACCACCAGACATTCCTAATCTCCTTATCCAGAGTTTTTTCCACAGCGCTTATCTCCTTGTAACATACTCTAGCACTTACTTATCCGTTATCTTTATCATCAGGTCCCTCCTGTCTACACAGGCTTTATGACTTTTCAAGGATGACAGGTAAATCGCTCAGATTCTTACAAACTTATTTGTTAGTGATTTCTTTCTTCTTCTTTTTTTTTTTAATTTATTGGGAAATCGGGGAAGGGGAACAGACAAGTTGCTGTCCTTTTGTACTTCTGTCTAGTTGTGGAAGACGTCGCTTCACTGGCCCATGTTGGTATTATCATTGCACTCTTCCCGGGTGAGGCAGTCGCTCACCAGCCATTGGACAGCCGCTCACAGCGGCTCATGGCAGCTCACGAAAGCGCACGCCCGCTGCTGGCCAGCCCCACTGCAGCCCACACCGTCGCCGGTGACTCATGGCAGCCCAGCTCCAGGTTGAGCTGTTGTTCACCATCTTAGCTGTAGAGGGCAGTGTCACTGGTCCTTAATGTGGGATCCGAACCGCAGTCCTGCTGCTCAGAGCTGGCGTCCCAAGCCAGCTCTTAACCAACGCGCCACTCGGCTGGCCCTGTTAGTGATTTCTTAACTATCTCCTCGTTCTCCTGTTTCTCTGTAGGCACTTGTCCTGTCTGCTTTCTCTTTGAAATAAAGAAATATTGTCTGGATTTTTTAAATTATATTTATGTACTCAGTGTACGAGAGAGAGAGAGAGAAGAGAGAATAAAAGCATTTAAGACTGAATTGGTGTTATAATAATAATCACTTTTATGCCCTCATTTATGGCAAGTGCTTTACATGAATTACTTCCTTTAATTACCAGTCAACTTGATGACAGTTGGCGTTTTTACTACACCTGTTTTACAGATGAAGGAGCAGTCATGGAGTAGCCTAAATCACTTTTCCCAAACCACAGAGCTAGCGGGCAACAGAGGCAGGACTGGCGCTCTTGGGTGAGTGCGCCAAAGTTCACACTCTGGTGAGAACCACACACAGGCCTGGGCGGTGGGCACAGGTGCACAGCGTGACCCCTGGGTGTGGCCCTGTGTGTGTGCTTCCTGTTATTGAGCCCCTTCTGTGTCGGGCGAGTATTCTCAGTCTGTCCACGTGGCTCCCTCTTAGCCTGGCACCAACATGTTAGTTAACCTCCCTCCTTCCATGTTAGCATTGGGATTGGAGTATGCAGCGGAGGAAGGTTGATTTCTTAAGATCTGAATTTTCTTCTCCTAAATCATGCATCTTCATCCTCCTCATCTTCAAGGCACATGGCAGCTCACGAAAGAGTACACCTGCTGCCGGCGAGCCCCACTGCAGCCTCTGCCGTCACTGGTGACTCACGGTAGCCCAGCTCCAGGTTGAGCTGTTGTTCAGCATCTTAGCTGTAGAGGGCACAGCATCACTGGCCCACATGTGGGATCCGAACCGGGGCCCTGCTGCTCAGAGCTGGCATCCCAAGCCAACTCCTAACCAACACGCCACTCAGCCAGCCCTACCAGTAATTTTAAAACCAAGGTGTCGGCATAGTGATAAGGATACAAGTGAAGGAGAAATAGAATCTTCTGTAATTTTGGGGTTCTCATTTTACAGATGGGCTAAAACCTGGAGAGAAGGATGTTAGCGAGTAAAGTGTGTGGCTCCAACTAAATATTGTGCAAAAAAGAGGAGAAAATACAAAGTTGGGCAGTGTGGATAGAGGTGGGGAGATTAGACTGGGCAAATACTGTCTCAAATAAAATCAGCCTGTCATTTATTCAGGGGTATGTGACTTTCCATGTACAAAGTCCTTGTGAAATCATTTAAGTTGCAAGAATGTGAATGTCACATTTTAGGCACTTATCTGAAGTAGGTGGGCAGTTTAGAAATTTACTTATATACATTCTTGCATAGGTCCCGCTGGATCAGCTTATAGTACCAGCGCAAACATTCCCAAATCCCAAACTGTTTTGTTTTTTTAAATCTAACAGAGACCAATCGGTCTCTTGCGGGAGTTCTCACTTGAAGGTAATGAAGCCCGGGAGGCATGGGTTTCAGTCTGAACCTCAGAGGGTAGGTCTCTGCTTGTCACACCGTAGGGCAGCTGTACGGTCAATAGGGGAGTCACCAATCTTGCCCTTGAGGACTTGGCGAGGCAGCTGTTTCTGTAATAAAGCCAACACAGGCAGACCAGAAAGTAGAATGCCAGAAGCTGCGTAGTTGTTTAAACTTAAAGCAAAGGCTTTAGTGATGCTGTCTGTAAGTTTGCAGTAGCTGCTTCTGGCTATTGCCCCAGAAACCCCGGGGAAATGCATGCATTCTCTCTCCTTTGTGTAATGGGTTCTTGGGGTGAAAGCTTTGTGAGATGCTGAGTATGTGGAAGGTTCATACTTCGGAAACTGTAAACTCCATAGAGGGTGGTGTTATGGGGATTCAGTTAAATCTGTTACAGGACAAAGATGCTGAAGGTTGGGTGTGTTGAAGACTGCATTTATAGAGGATGGCTGAGAGCAGATACAGTTGTTTCTCTGAGCAGAGGATAGTGATGTTGATGGCCTTTCTTGTTCTCAGAGCTTCCCCCCTGTAAATCCCCACCCCAGACCTGCACTGAAGGTAAAGATACACCTGGGGTAGAAGTGGCTTCCTCTGGATCCAGGCCGTGGTCTAGAAGCACACTTCACAAACTGCCACGTCCTTGGAATGCTCTGGGATTCGATAACAGCCAGCTTCTGATGCAGTGGGTCTGGGTGGGTCAGAGGGCCTCCGCCTCTAACAGGCTCCCCAGTGATGCCATCCACTATGAGCAGCGTGGCTTAGAACAAGTGGCTGTGCTAAACCCAGCCCAGACCGCCCAGTCCTAGAATAGGTCTCCTTCTGTGCACCTCTCTGCTGCCGTGCGTCACTGTAGATGACCCAGGAAGTCACCTCACCCAAGTGTCGCAGACCTTAAATAAATCTGGGTCATCGGCGACATTTTTTGAAAAGATTTGTGCTGCCTGGAGAAGCAGAGTTAGTGTCTGGGTGGGAAAATGCAGTGAAAAAAATCAAACGTAACAGGAATAAGGAAAAATTTGATAATGTGCCAAATGAAACCAAGCATAGGGCGCCCTGCCTCTTTCCTACCGTTTTATTTTCCGGTGCCACTTTGTCTCTGGGCTGGCACACAGGCATAGAGTGTGTGGTGTTTGTTTCTCAGCTGTGGGCTCTGACTTAATGGTCAGGCCTGCAAAAAAAGGCTGTAACTCCTGACTAATGCTTGCTAGTAGAAATACTCCACAGTTTTCCCTCCTAGTGTATGAGTATCATACACAAGATAATTCATTTTTGTTAAATAATTTTTCAGGTGTCTCTTGACTATGGAGTGGAGGAAGATCCTTTTATTTACCTCTGTGTGCCAAGGAGCAATGTTAGTTAGTCTAATACCTTTCATGTAAGCACTTCATATTATATTGTGCTTTTACAGACTTCAACAAGTGAAGTATTCAGGTTTTACGTGCCTTGTTAAAAAAAAAAGGGAAAATTCATCTAATATAGATAAGATTTATTAGTTTGAAACTCATTGTATAAGCAAATAGTCCAGTGAGGCTAAAGTTCTAAGGATTTTTGTGTTGTGAGTATACCCTTGTCAGTATGCCTAATTATGATAAGGTTAAGCCTGTTGGCTTAGGTAGTAGATGTAAATAGTAATGGTAAAACTAAGGCATATAATCTGAATCTTTAGAATGACTATTTTATATTATGAAAAATGTAGATACTGCTGAATGACTATGATTTGTGTTGTACATAGCCAAATTTTCAAGAGTTTACATACCATTAGGAAATTTTAGTGGGTGATATAGTAGAATAACATAAGTAAATGATACATAACACATATGTCAGCAAGTAAAACTTAAAATATAAGCTTAGTAGTGACATGTGCGTGACCTTTTGTTTCAAGCCCCTGTTCTCAATTTTCACTGTTCACCTGAGTCACCTGGGGAGAGTTTTAAAATCCAGCCGGACCGTCTCCTCTGTTCTCCGCCTCCCCAAGTCAGTTGGGGATGAGGCCTGGATATAAATTCTTTTTTTTCTTCCCCAGAGGATTCTGATGGCTGCCCCTATTGAGACCCCTGATTTATCAGAGGGTGACTTGAAACACCATCACCACTTGGTGGCAGTGTTGCTCCCTGTGTGTTGATGTCCCTGCTCTTTCAAATCCCAGAAAAGTGTGCTTTTTTCTTTTCTTTTTTTTTTCCTGTGTTTTTGTTTTTGGTCTTGTTTTTGTGGCAGTCTGTATCTTCCTTGCTCATTTGCAACTTATTCGAAAGGAGAACTACCTTCTAAAATGGGTATTTTTAGATGTTTTTCTTTCTTTGTCTACAGTGTTTTAGGGAGTGGGCAAAATAAGGGAGAAAGAAATGGTCTCCGATTGCCAGACATATGGCTTTTGAAGATTGTTCTTAATTTGTTTTCCATGTAACTTTTCTGTGGTGGATGAAGACCAGGTTCAACATAAAACATTGCAAGCCAGGAACTTGACTGTCCGTAGTTTGAAGCTACTAGATTTCCACCCTGTGTTGTGCTTCTTGACACATCATTACAGATGTCGGGGAAGCCATAGTGAGTGGCCAGGTTTTACTTTGGTTTTTGCTTTTTTTGTGCCTGACAGCAGTTGTAATTTAGCATTGGTTGAACTTTTCCTAGTTAACCATTGGTGTTTATAAACAGTCCTTACATGTGGTGCAAAGGCTGGAGAGAAGGGTTTTGGTGATAGAAAGACATCATTTCAACCTTGTGCTCCGTAAGAAGAGCTGAGTGCTGGTGCCTGGGCGCTGGAGGCCCTGGGATTGGAAGGAGTGTGAGTGCCTGCTTCCAGCGCCTTGGCTGGCAGGGAATTCCTCTGTAGGGCCACGCTAACTCTGGAGCCTGTGCCTGAGTCACGGCAGGACTGAAGTCCAAAGGGGAAGCTCCTGACTTGTCACCTTTGAACTTTAATGAACTTCAACCTGTAGGCACCAGGGAACCCACAGATTAGTAGTTTGAAAATATTTTCAGGAAAATAAACTCCGTAGACATGTCTGAACTCGAAGCAACCTCAAAATTGGTGGCACTGTGGTGAGGCAAGCAGGCATCCTGGGTACAGAATTGAAGGAGGGACTCATTTT